AACAGGCATCCTGCTAGCCCACCCTCCTGCACAGCGTCACAGGGACACCCACCATCACAGGCTGGCAGCTGGGGACAGGCTGAGGATCACAGATGCCGCTGGGGAACAAAGCTGCCCTTTCTGCAGTCACCAAGGACTGCAGCAGCTCCAGCACGTGGCAGGGCCCGCTGCACGGCTGCCACAGGCAGATTCTGGCACATCAGTTCATTGCCCTTCAGCCATGGAAAGTCTGCAGAGTAATTAATGGGCCTCAGCCCATGGCATGCAGGTCCCCAACTCACCTTGTCTCGGCCATATCTCCGAAGTAGCCGATAGGGCCAGACGTAGAGGGTCTCCTTCGTCTGTGGGTCCTTCAGGATGAGGCTGTCACGCTCAGCCTTGAGCACGTAGGCACCACGCAACTCGCAGCGCTCCGCAGCCTCCGTCCGCTGCACTGTCACCCAGAAGGTGTTCGCTGTGGGGACAGGGGTGATCAGGGGATGCAGACGAAACCCCATTCCCAGCTCCAGGCAAGGCCTAGCCCGGTCTCCCAGGCCACTGGCACGAGGACAATGCAAGGACATGGGCCTGGGGAAGGGTGCCCGAGCCCAGCACAGCAGCAAGCCCTACCCTCCTCCCGTGAGTAGTAGATGGAGTTCACGGCCATCTCCAAGGCTGGCGCCTCCCCATCGCCCTCTCTGCCGCGCCGGGCTGCCACACCACCATCACTGGGTCCCTTTCCCTGCCAAGGAAGAGCAGATAAGCCTGAGCCTCTCTTGTCCCACGCGGGCCCCCCAGGGCCCCATGCAGCCAGTTGCTACACCGTGACTCCACTCGCCCCCCGTGGCCAGCACTCATGGCCCTGCGGCCTGGTCCAGCGGCCAGCCATCCTCCCGTGGGGCCCACCTCTGCCCCCTCCCTGGCCTGGCTGCTCTCCAGATGCATCAAGCCCTTCCCAGCCCACAGCTCGGGACAGACTCCACACCTGCCCAGAACCAGCAGGACCCGTGGACAGACACAGGGTCTGGCTGTGCCTGAGGGGCATCCCTGGGACTTCCAGCAGGACCCCAGGCCCACCCAGCCCAATGCATGGAGAGGAGCAGTTGCCCCCAGCAGCCCTTCCACTGGACCCTGGGCTCCAGCGCAGCAGGCCCCGCGGGGCACGGACGCAAGCTGGCCCTGACACGCAACTTCCTCTGGCTGCAGCAGCCAGTGATCCAACATGCCCCACTGCAGCTGCTCATCTGACCCGCTCTGGCAGGGCCTCAGCCACCCGGATGTCCTGGTGCCGACACAGAGAACAGCTCTGCTTCCTCACGGATATGCTCCAACACAGGCAAGATCAGCACTCAAAGCGCCGTGCAGGCCCAGCTGCACTCTCCCAACAGCGCAGACAAGGGGGGCGCGCGAGGTGACCCAGTAACGCGAGGGTCTCTGCGTCTGGCTTCTGCACGGGCAGGAAGACGGTGCCAGTGTCACTGCGCACAGCCCGCAGAAGGGAAGCAAGCACTTCTACATTTAGCGCATGCAGAACTGAAAGTGCAACGCATACACTCTGGTCGTCCGAGCCAGCGCCCCTCTGCAGCAGGGTCTCCCAAGGGCTTGCGCACGGGGTGCACCCCCCGCGCTACCACAGAAGAGCAAAGAACCCCCTCCAGGGAAGCCCCATGCAAATCAAAGGCTCACAGGTGCCCTGCAGGCGCAGCTTCAGCAGGTTTTGCATGGTTGCATGAGGGTCTGTATTTAGTCAGGAGCTGAAAAACGTTTCTCAGTGTCAAAGCACGTGGGATGGGGTTGCAGCAGAATATGTGTCTTGTAGAAGGCAAATTGTCACAGTTTCAGTTCAAAACCGGTCACGTGGGCTTCTTAACAGGAGGTAAGGCCCTACAGACCCTCTCATTTGCCTCCTCGTCAGACTGGGGACTGCTGAAACCTAGCAGCCTAGACCTGAGGGCTCCTGTTCAGCTAAAGCATCTTACACAGGAAGGGCTCTAGCCTGGGATCAGGAAGTCAACAGCTAGCAAGTCTGCCAGAGCCCTTGAGGGAAAGCACAGCCCAAAGGAGCCCTAATCTTCAGAAGGAAAAGAAATTCCAACCTGAACTGCAACTGATCTCAAACGAAATCATGCTCCCAATATAGAGGATCAAAAATCACAACCAGCTCCTTGCAGAGAGATCAGGCGCAGCTCCTGCGCCTCTTGCTGCAGGCCAGACCTTTCTAAAACACATGCCATCCTCGCAGCACTTTGCTAACCTCTTCCCAAACCGTCAGTGTGCTTCATGAGCACAAGCATCCGGCTAACAGCTACCGTGTAAGGGACAGCGTGAGCACCTTCCTGCTCCAAGCAGCTGTTCCCCTGCCCTGCCACTGCCCCACATCACTCTGTGAAGGCGCTCCTGTGTGTTCCCGGCTCAGCCCCACAGGCCCTTTCCAGGGAAAAGGCAGCAACACCGCACAAAATGGACTTTGGCACAGACAAGGAACGATTCCCAGCGCCATACCTGTGCTCCTTGGCCTGACCAGCAGGCGCTCACTGCACAAACACATGTGATTTGACAGCAGGCTGCAGGGAGAGGCAAGCAGGGACAAAAAACGGCTTAAGATAAGTCATGCTCAGCAAACATGTGCGTCCTCGTGGGAAGGTCCCGGGATTGCCAGCTTCACAACCAGTCATCATACGGGGCAGCCCTGACCAGCGCTCACAAAGCTGCAATCAGCAAGAACTCTACCCAGAGCCTTGCAGGCATCTCGTCTGGCAGAGGAGAGACAGCGGACCCAGAGGGGCCGGGCGAGCGCGGGAGGCCCTGCAGGGCAGCGGGGATGGCCGCACTTGCTGCTCTGCAAACTCTGCCTTCCCACGGAGGCGTCTCAGGCAGCTGCGGTGTGAGGTGCGGGCAGGCAAGCTGCTGCACTCGCTGGCCACAACTGCTCTAGGGAGGGGCTGCAGAGCTGGCCGCGCGCACACATCTGTATATGTGTGCATGCATATGTTTGTGTGCACATCTGTATGTGTGTATATGTGTGCATGCATGTGTTTGTGTGTGTGCGCACACATCTGTATATGTGTGCATGCATATGTTTGTGTGCACATCTGTATGTGTGTATATGTGTGCATGCATGTGTTTGTGTGTGTGCGCACACATCTGTATATGTGTGCATGCATATGTTTGTGTGCACATCTGTATGTGTGTATATGTGTGCATGCATGTGTTTGTGTGTGTGCGCACACATCTGTATATGTGTGCATGCATATGTTTGTGTGCACATCTGTATGTGTGTATATGTGTGCATGCATGTGTTTGTGTGTGTGCGCACACATCTGTATATGTGTGCATGCATATGTTTGTGTGCACATCTGTATGTGTGTATATGTGTGCATGCATGTGTTTGTGTGTGTGCGCACACATCTGTATATGTGTGCATGCATATGTTTGTGTGCACATCTGTATGTGTGTATATGTGTGCATGCATGTGTTTGTGTGTGTGCGCACACATCTGTATATGTGTGCATGCATATGTTTGTGTGCACATCTGTATGTGTGTATATGTGTGCATGCATGTGTTTGTGTGTGTGCGCACACATCTGTATATGTGTGCATGCATATGTTTGTGTGCACATCTGTATGTGTGTATATGTGTGCATGCATGTGTTTGTGTGTGTGCGCACACATCTGTATATGTGTGCATGCATATGTTTGTGTGCACATCTGTATGTGTGTATATGTGTGCATGCATGTGTTTGTGTGTGTGCGCACACATCTGTATATGTGTGCATGCATATGTTTGTGTGCACATCTGTATGTGTGTATATGTGTGCATGCATGTGTTTGTGTGTGTGCGCACACATCTGTATATGTGTGCATGCATATGTTTGTGTGCACATCTGTATGTGTGTATATGTGTGCATGCATGTGTTTGTGTGTGTGCGCACACATCTGTATATGTGTGCATGCATATGTTTGTGTGCACATCTGTATGTGTGTATATGTGTGCATGCATGTGTTTGTGTGTGTGCGCACACATCTGTATATGTGTGCATGCATATGTTTGTGTGCACATCTGTATGTGTGTATATGTGTGCATGCATGTGTTTGTGTGTGTGCGCACACATCTGTATATGTGTGCATGCATATGTTTGTGTGCACATCTGTATGTGTGTATATGTGTGCATGCATGTGTTTGTGTGTGTGCGCACACATCTGTATATGTGTGCATGCATATGTTTGTGTGCACATCTGTATGTGTGTATATGTGTGCATGCATGTGTTTGTGTGTGTGCGCACACATCTGTATATGTGTGCATGCATATGTTTGTGTGCACATCTGTATGTGTGTATATGTGTGCATGCATGTGTTTGTGTGTGTGCGCACACATCTGTATATGTGTGCATGCATATGTTTGTGTGCACATCTGTATGTGTGTATATGTGTGCATGCATGTGTTTGTGTGTGTGCGCACACATCTGTATATGTGTGCATGCATATGTTTGTGTGCACATCTGTATGTGTGTATATGTGTGCATGCATGTGTTTGTGTGTGTGCGCACACATCTGTATATGTGTGCATGCATATGTTTGTGTGCACATCTGTATGTGTGTATATGTGTGCATGCATGTGTTTGTGTGTGTGCGCACACATCTGTATATGTGTGCATGCATATGTTTGTGTGCACATCTGTATGTGTGTATATGTGTGCATGCATGTGTTTGTGTGTGTGCGCGCACATCTATATATGTGTGCATGCATATGTGCGTGCACATCTGTATATGAGTGCGTGTGTGTGCACATCTGTATGTGTGTATATGAGCGTGTTTGTGTGTGCACATCTGTATGTGTGCATGCATATGTTTGTGCGCGCACACATCTGTATATGTGTGTGTGCATATGTGTGTGTGTGCACACATCTGTGTGTGTGTGTGTGTGTGTGTGTGTGCGTGTGTGCGCTCACACGCATGCATGTGTGTAAGAAAACTACCATTATTTCCATTGGCATAGCCTTGATTAAACTTAGCCTCGGTGCTTGGAGTAGCGCAGCCTGCAGGCCTAAGCTTGAACTTTACCCGAACCTGTGGGCTACTGCTGACACAAGTGCGGGGCGGCTCGAACCAGCCCCCAGAGGCACAGCACCCGAGGGGCAGAGGCAGCCCTGAGTCCCATAAGGTAAGGCACCGCGAAGCGGGAACACAGCAGCCGTCCTGGGACGTGGACATGAACCAGCGAACAGAGACCAGCGACTCCGTAAAGAAGATTGGAAGAGACTGTCGCTGGCAGGCGGGGAAATCAGGCTGTAAGGAGTATAGGTATCCCAGAATTTCTTTGTTCTGGGTCCCTCTTCGGAGGCACCCAGCTCAAGCTGAAATAAACGCTCGTAGAGAAGCCTGACTCTGACTCTGGTGAAGGCCTGGGGCCCCTTATAGCAGTGTGCGTGCCTACCACGCACGGTAACTTGTGCACGCCACGCCTGCACACCAGTCAGCTGTGGGCGCTCGTTCCTGCCACGCACCAGGAACGTGTGTGTGGGTCTGTATGGCACACCGGTAACGCGCGCACCAGGTACCGCTAGCGTGCGCGTGTGCTGCGCGCTGGTAACGTGTGCACACCGGGTCCCGCACAGTGGTAGTGTGTGTGCATGTGTGTGTGCGTGTGTGTACCTGCCCAGCACCCGTAAAGGGTGCACTGGTAACGTGTGTGCGTGCGTGTGCATGTGTGTGGGCGTGTGCACGTGTGCGTGCCACCGCACACTGGTGAGACGGCACAGGGTATTGTGCAGTGGTGACACCTGGCACAGCAGTGCGTGTGAGCTGGCACGGCGTGCTAGTAACATGTTTATCGTGCACAGGCGACGTGTTCC